TTTTAACAGAGGCCAAATCTATTATATTTAGTGTAATTGACATTTTTTTTATATTTTTTATTTGTACACTCTAAAAAATGCTGGGTTGTTTCAACCCATGTTTGGGTCAAATATGGACAAACCCATGTTTAATGGGAACATCACATAGGTAATGATTTTTATACTTTATACACTCTAAAAAATGCTGGGTTGTTTTAACCCAATTTTGGGTCAAATATGGACAAACCCAAATTATGGATTTAAAAATGCAATTAATAAATTTAACCCAACAGCTGGGTTTGTCCATATTTGACCCAAAATTGGTTTAAAACAACCCAGCATTTGAGTGTGTATATTCTCTCCCCCTAAACCTGGCCATCATAGAAAACTTTTTGCATTTTAAAAATGTTAAAACATTGCATTTAGTATGATTTATAAGCAAAATGAACTGGTATTACTATCCTTGTGGGGACACGCCACGTTTTTTTCCTATACACTCCAAAAAATGCTGGGTTGTTTTAACCCAATTTTGGGTCAAATATGGACAAACCCAGCCATTGGGTTACATTTTTAAATTGCATTTTTAACCCAACGTTTGGGTTTGTCCATATTTGACCCAAAATTGAGTTAAAACAACCCAGCATTTTTTGTTGAAAAAGTATTCCACAAAAAGTATTATTCTTATACGATATGATCGTTATGATATCTAAAATTCTCTTGCAACACTGTACTACTGATAAAAACTGTACTAAAAACTACTGATAAAAGTATTGGACTAGCATTATGATATTGCCATGGTATTTTTTATTGGACATGTACCGTATAAATTGTGGGTCAAATTCAGTCAAAGAAAGCAATTAAAATGTTTTTTTTTTTTTTAAGCATCGCTCTTCCCCCCAATAAAAAACATTTTGAAATTCAATGTAATTTTCATATATGAAACAATGACTCCCCAGCTGAGTGTGCAGATGCTGTTTTCCTCTCTCTCCCAGCAGGTGTCCCTGTCAGGCAGAGCAGCGTCTCTGCCAAACAACACATTTCCCACTACCACTCTTAAAATCCCATAATAGCCAGCATGAGCACCTGACATCCCGATGTCCAGCGTAGTCTCTCTGGCGCTACTGTTCTCTGTTTAGAAACAGGAAACTTCTGCCTTATTTTCTCTAGATAACATCAATTAGAGATTTTATGCTTGGTTACGGGGCATATTAGCCACATCATATGAATAATTGGAGGGTCATCGGGACAAAATATAAAATGTTTGGAAAATAAACACAGCTTTTGTCTATTGCAAACTTGTTTTCCAGCATCTTCACATAGTTTTGCATGTCTTCGGGGGAAAAAGCGTGACATCTCCCAGAGCACATGTCCTTATCCATCGCCTGCTGTGCGACAAAATGAAACGGGGCGATATGGCTCACCTCAACCCAAAAGCAGACCTGTGGACCAGCCAACTAATGCCTAATAGACCCCATCTGACACTGCATCACTCCCACAGCCTAAACTTCTAATCAAGGACTACGACAACAACAACCGCCGGTGGATGGCTTTTCTACCGGCCTGTAATGGGAAAATGTGCGCTGTCTGGATGGGTTACAACAAGACCTGTGCTGAGATCAGCGGGGGTCCATTACCGGCCACCACAACCCATTTACAGCCAATCGCCACATTTTGGTCAATCTGTACCAGCAACCAGTAGCCCATCAAAAGCAGACGTTAGGAGAAATAGGTCTGTGGTCTGAGCACATGCGCCTATCTCCGCCAGACAGGTGTTGTCTGCAAACTTCCAATATCTTTCATCTAAAAAATAAACGCATTTTATTTCAAAAATACGCTTTTTTGACATTGTCACAGGAGGCAAGGTTACATCTGATGATTCGGAAAGAGAAAAGGTTACCGGCAGCAACAGATCCACTTTCTTTTTATTGAACGACCAGATTTATTTTTACTAAACAACTACTGACATACGACCTCAAGTGCAAAAGAGCATAAAAAAAACACCACTAAATTCAATAAATTGTTAAATATTATTAATAAAATTGAGCATACACAATTCTTCCACCTATAAATTGAACGTACGGGAACAATTAACAAATGTATTGCTTGCAAGTTGCAGTAAAAAGTGATCAGTTGACTTGACTTAAAAAATTGAGGAAACCCATTGCATTAAAATTATTAATTAAATAATCTTCATGTAATTGAAAAAAATAAGTTATGTGAACTTAACAATTCAACATGACTTATTTTTATTGCAAGCATGAAGTTTATTTACTTAATAATTTTAAGGCAATGAGTTTCCTCGCTTTTTTAAGTTGTCAACTAATCACTTTTTACAGTATTATATTATACCTATATAAATATTAATTGAACGTGAACTGAGTATTAAATGATTTTGAAGTGACGCCTGATATGACCTCAGCAGATGCTCTTGCACCTTGTGGATTTTCCATGTGTCTGTCTCTCCTGTCAGAAACTGCATTTATCTCCTCACAACGAGAGCTTGATGACTCTCCCATATGGACGAGAGGTGCATAGAGAGAGAAAGAGGGGTCCCAGATCAAAAAAATTAAGAAATTTTAAAAGAATAATTCAATTAAAAATAATGTACAAATGAGGGCATCCTTAAAAATATTATAATATACACTACTAATCAAACTCCATTAAAATAATTGAAATTATATTAAAAGCATTATTGCTGTCATTTAAAAAAAACAATATATAATAGCCTATATTTACAAAAACATTATTATTATGATATAAAATAATAGTTATTAAAACTATGAAAGCTAATTGGCGCGTTGTTTTTTTAAATAAAACAAAAATGTATATATAGGTCCAATTTATATGAATCAATAAAACTATCAGTAACACTTTGCAAAAAGGTCTAATTGGTTAACATTAATTAATGCATTAAATATATATATTAATGTTAGGTTATAAAAATGTTCTTGTTAGTTCACAGTGCATTAACTAGATGCCACTTTTGATCTTAAAAATGTATTAATAAATGTTGTTGAGATTAGCATTAGCTAGGATAAGTCAATAATGTGTTGTTCCTTGTTAGTTCAACTAATTGAAAACTTATGGTAAAGCATTACCAAACTATATCAAGAGATCAAAACAAGCATTCAAACGTTAATATAGTGTTTATTCATCAATTCATCTCCTCCATTTAAATCCTGCATTAGGCCAGAAACATGTCGAGAACGTGTTTAAGAGCAGCTGAGAAGGAAGCGAGAGGCGAGCGCGTGTTAAATGCTCCCATTAATAGAAAAAGACCTCCATGTCTGCTGGTATTTACGGAGGTTTGGAGCGAAGGCATTAGTGCTCAAAGCCCCTGTGCCACGATTAACAATCTCTCTCACTGTAAGACGCCCATGTTATCCTTCCGACGTTGTAGTTACGAGGGGAAAAGCTCTTTTTTGTCACCAAATCCTTAATTCTTTCTTCTCTGGAAAAAAAGAGGGTAATACAGAGAATGTTTCTCAATCTGCTTTGAGAGAGCAGCGAAGAGAAAAGGAAACCCCCAATAAAACATGTGTGAACGAAAGGGTAATTGTGGACAAATGCAGCATTGAAATTCATTTTCAACTCTTTACACACCATTTCAATCTTATTTTATGCTTGTTAGCCACATCTTGTTGGTGAGGGTCGGCAAGACTGCCCAGTATTGATGGATAATTGTGTATAATTCACTCCTTACATGCGATTTGCATCAATAAACATTATTTTTTTTTAATGCTGGGGTATTTAAGACAAAACCATTTCTGGAGAAAGTCAGCCTTAATACTCATTAATGGGGACCAAAGAGGATCCCAGCAACAACAATCCAGACATGACACAACAACAGATCCGCAAAACACAGCATTCGTGTCAAAAACACATATTCTCTAATGCTTTAGAGTGTGACGTTAATGAATAAAGCAACATAGATTTCATTTTACCCAAACAATGTCTTTAGGTTTAAATGTTTAAACAGTCGATTTCCTCTTAAAATCAACATGGACATGATCATTTACTTTATTTTTGTCACATAAGCCGCACAGGGATAAATGTCGTCCAATAGCGAAATTGTTATTCAGATATTGCTTTATAAAGATATAGAGATATATAAAAAAAAATGGAACGATTTGGGAATGATTATATTAAAGTTTATACATGACGCAGGTGCTCTCTATTGAAAAGCTGACTTTAAACTTAAAGGAGTAGTTCACTTTTAAAAAAACTTTTGCTGATAATTTACTCGCCCCCATGTCATCCAAGATGTCCACGTCTTTCTTTCTTCAGTCGAAAAGAAATTAAGGTTTTGATGAAAACATTCCAGGATTTTTCTCCATATAATGGACTTCAATGGGGTCCAAACGGCTCAAGGAGTTTCAGTGCAGCTTCAAAGGGCTTTAAACGACACCAGACGATGAATAAGGGTCTTATCAAGCGAAACAATCGGTAATTTAAAAAACAAATAAAAAAGTTTGAGTTTTATAAGCACAAATGCTCGCCTTGCTCTGTTCTGTGATTCGAAATGACTCGAAAAAAGATTCATTCATTTTGATGAACGAGTTCGAACATTTGAGCAAGTCGAGCATTTGTGCTTATAAAACTCAAACATTTTTATTTATTTTTGAAATGAGCGATCGTTTCGCTTGATAAGACTCTTGATCTTCGCTTGATTCATCGTCTGGTGTCGTTTAAAGCTGCACTGAAACTCTCATTTGGACCTTGAACCGTTTGGTTCCCATTGAAGTCCATTATATGGAGAAAATCCTGGAATGTTTTCATCAAAATCCTTCATTTCTTTTCGACTGAAGAAAGAAAGACATGGACATCTTGGATGACATGGGGGCGAGTAAATTATCAGCTAAAGTGAACTAAGCAAACTTCACAGGGTTTGTGCTTTCTCCATCTCAGAGCAAACATGATCTGTTTCCACACTAGAAGCTGACGCTAGCTTAATTCTCCAGCGTTCTTGATCTAGCATGCTGGCGTGGCGTTCATTCATCGTAAGAGGCGTCTGCACTAACCTGTGGCGAAAGGCCGTTGCTCACGGGATTCATGTGGTTGCCCGAAGCTGACGGGCTCATGAACGTGTCTGAATAGCTGGAGAAGGAGTGTCGATTGGAGGAGAGCCCGTAGGCAGAGCCGGTGTCCGCCGAAAGCCCACCCTGATGCATGGAGGACGGAGGCAGAGGCTGTGGCCGGTGTAAAGTACTGCTGCCATCTGAGACACAAACACAGACACCGTGAGACGGGAACAGCTATAAATGTACTTACCCCTGTACCAATACGTAAGAAAGTACAGGGTCACATAAGGTGACTACATGGGTTAAGGTTAGGTTTAGGGGTTATCGTCTAACATTAAGTAGCACAATGTTACTGGGAATATTTTTGGACCTCCATATTAATTCAGATATGTACCATTTTATTGCATTTAATATGGTAAACATTTATAACATGAAACCAATTTGTGTAAGCACGTTGCATTTTTGGAAGAAGTCTCTTGTACTCACCAAACCTGCATTTATTTGATCAAAAATGTTATATTGTGAAATATCATTACAATTTAAAATATTATATTATATCAATATGTTGAATCAATATGTTGAAAGCTCAGCATCTTTTGTAACGATTTCTTTGCTGTCGCTTTTGATATGGAAGCTTGTTTCTGCCACAGAATGAAAAATAAAGGTAATTCCGACTTTTTATCTCACAATTCTGACTCTTTTTTTTCTCAGAATTGCGAGATATAAAGTCACAATTGCGTATTATAAAGTCAAAATTTGCAAGATATAAAGTCAGAATTGCAATCTAGTGTATCTCACAATTCTGAGAAAAGATGTCAGAATTTCAAGATAAAAACTCACAATTATGTGTTATAAAGTCAGAATTGCGAGATGTAAACTTGCAATTGTGAGAAAAAAGTCAGAATTGTGAGATGAAAAGTCGCAATTCTGTCTTTTTTCCCACGATTGCGACTTTATATCTCAGAATTGCGACTTATTTCTCACAATTCTGACTTGCATCCCCCAATTGTGAGATAAAAAGTCGCAATTATATATATATATGAAGAGTTCAGATGCAAAAGCTTCTAAATGCCATTTGAAATTTTCTTCTTTAATGATGATTTTTATCAAACTTGTATATTTAAGTTCAGTGATTTCACTTAAATAACAATTAATAGGTAATTATCATAGCCATTTAAGTGAAATCACTGAACTTAAATATACAAGCTTGATAAAAAATTATCATTCTAGAAGAAAATTTCAAATGGCACTTAGAGGCTTTTGCATCTGAACTCTTCATATATATATACACATATATACAGTATATATACACTCTAAAAAAAAAGGTTCTTCAGGGGTTCTTTGCGGTGGTTTTGGTGCTATTTAACTTAAAAGTGGTTCCCCTATGATTACAAGCCAATGAACCACTTTTAGTGCTATATAGCACCATTTTTGTTTATGTATATTTATTCAGTGGCAAAAACAAGCCTCCATATCAATTTAATGCATCCTTACAAAAAAAAGAGCCTATAAATGAAACTCTTACTGTCCACAAACTTTTAACCAGTAGTGTGTTTCTACAGACGGGGGGTCATGGATTACTGTGCATTACCTTGCGAGAGAGCCGTGCCTGGATACGTCGACTCTGGAAGCTGATAGGTCGATAAGGTTGGCATGCCGGTAGGCGGAAACCCTCCGGGCAACAAATGGTTAAACGCTGCCAGCTGATTGGCTCCTGCTTGTTTGCGCCACCTTGCTCTTCGGTTGCTAAACCAGACCTAATGAAAGAAGATGGAAGCACATTTTAGAAAAATAAACAAGACGAACAGTTGTGCAAAGAAGATTTCATCCACATAACCTGTAGTCTCCGTTCATGACAGGTTGATGTGCATGTGTGTGGCAGAGAGCGCGTCCTCATGGGAAACCGTCTCTTAGCTCATGGCGAGGTCCCTGTTGTTCTAGTTAAGTGGCTAAAGCTGTGATCTGTATAAACAGGCCGCTTTGAGCTCGAGAGGTCGTAAACAGGTCAGAGGTAGCCCACACATCTCCGCAGACATCTCGAGTATGTTTATCTACCTGTCGGACACTTTAAAGACTTTCCTGCAGCAGTGTTGTGTGAAACACACACACATCCATCTTTCACATTTCACATTCATAATCAAGCGACCGGTGTCAATTTACTAAATTAATGCCCACTGTAAAAAAATATTTTCAAGATTTGTTATCACAACATATTTTCTTTTGTCAAATCAACTTTATAATAATTTATTTAGTTGAGATAACTTATTATTTTGAGTTTCTGATGGTTAAATTAATCTCCTTCATTGTATTAACTCACTTTTTCCAGTTCAATCAACTTAAAATTTTAAGGCAACCAGGTTACTTACTTTTTTAAGTTAAACCAACAATATTTTTTACAGTGCACTCACTGTAAAAAAAATAATATATTTTCAAGATTCGTTATCACAACATTTTTTCTTTTGTCAAATCAACTTAATTTATTTAGTTGAGATAACTTATTATTTTGAGTTTCTGATTATTAAATCAATCACCTTCATTATATTAACTCACTTTTTCCAGTTCAATCAACTTAAAATTTGAAGGTTGCCTCAAACAGGTTGCCTTAAATTGTAAGGCAACCTTAAAACCAGGTTACAACAATTTTTTTAAGTTAAACCAACAATATTTTTTATAGTGCCTGAACAAAACTACAAGTTTGAGACTTTTCTCATTTATTGTCATGAATGTGAACGCAAAGTTGACAGATCAGTGTGTCCTCCCTATGATGCCGTCAAATTGACATCCCATTGGTTTCTATGAGATTCGCCAAAAATCAACACTTGATAGAAAAGATTCATAACATTGAATAATCAATACTAGTAAATATCTAGTAATTATCATCATCCAGCTGTTTATGGATATACATATTTAACTTTATCTGCATATATTGCATATCTAAACTGCTTGATTGCTTGTATCGTTGCAAAACGTGAACTAAATTATCCTCCAGCTTTGCTAAATGAGACTATACATCAGATTTTATAAACATTAACATAATGATTTTCTGCGAAACAATGTGTATTTTTTTAAAGTGCTATATTAATACATTTTACTTGATTGATGTGACTGTATTGTAGATAGCCAAATATGAAATCTTTTATCATTTGAACCCAAGCGGAGGATCTATTTTAATCACCACAGGCACTTAAATGGCCCAAAAAAACAAGAAGATTTAATCAAAACGATTCAGAAGAAAATTTGAGTGTTGCTTGCCCATGCATTGCTTATTTGCCAATCCAAGTCCATCTAAAAGATCCAAACAAATGCTTATAAAGCACCAGAGAGTCGCAGTATTTACATTATTCAGGAAGTAAGTCGTGCACATTAAACAAGAAATGACTTCAACATTGAAAAAATGTCAGACCAAACTAACCAACCAGACTGACTTCAGACGAGGACAATTTGCACATTTTAAACAGCTTCTCCTCCATCAAAACATGAATATAATTAGCATCTCTGAAAGCAGGGAGAAGACCGCGGGCCTGCGTATGTGAAAGGTCGGAGGACATTGATCTACGCCATGCACTGGCAATTCATCCGCGTTTAATACACTGTCAGGGCAGTTCATCTACCGTTGTGTTTAAAACGGGCCGGTCCATTGTGCGTCCAGATGAAAGGTGGGGACAAAGGCTTCTCCATACACCAGGCTGAAAAGTGTCCACAAAGGGTGGGCGTCCCTTTTTAAACGTGCTTTAAGATGGTACGCACACAAGGACACACTCTATTCTGATGCAACGACACCGTAGACACACTCTACAAAACACACTGGCCCTTTCTTACAAAGCGCTGCTTACATTGTCCATGTGCAGAACTGTCAGGCCACTAACAGCTAGCATCTCATTCAGATGACTTCAATGGCTGGCCAACGTTTGATGCCACTAAAGATGACTCTTACCCATCTGTCATGCGTCGGATTCGACCGTAGGAGGAAACGCTTCACCCCCTCGTCTGCCTTGAGCCTAAACCTGGTGTTCCAGACTGATAAAAGATGCTCTCGCGTCCTGAACAAACTCGGGGAATGCATCGAACGGAGTGGGAATCGGTTTGCGAAGAATGGAAGAACGCTGTGGCCTTCCCCCACGAATGCAAGTGTCCCGTTCTTCTGTGCCTCCTGACCCATGACCTCTGAACCCCACGCTCCAACCTTTCATCCTTTGATGGCCTCTTCCTTCTTTCAGACACTCTCTTCTGTGACATCAGCGAGAAACATTTAATCGTTGGTTTCTTCATGCACTGGTCCAATTTGGGATTTTTGGGCTATTTTGCTTGCTTAAAGGAGTAGTTCACTTTTGAAAAAACTTTTGCTGATAATTTACTCACCCCCATGTCATCCAAGATGTCCATTTTTTTCTCTCTTGATGAAAACGTTCCAGGATTTTTCTCCATATAATGGACTTCAATGGGGTCCAAACGGTTCAAGGTCCATCGAGAGTTTCAGTGCAAACTGCAAACTGTTCAAAGGGCTTTAATCGATTCTAGACAATGAATAAGGGTCTTAACAAGTGAAACGATCGCTCATTTAAAAAATAACTAACAAAGTTTAAGTTTTATAAGCTCAAATGCTCGCCTTGCTCTGTTCTGTGATGCGCGTTCGTGACTCTCCTGTTCGAACTCGTTTTCCGAGTCATTTGGTTCATTCAATGAACAAAACGAACGAATTGACTCGGAAAAAGATTTGTTCATTTTGATGAATGAGTTCGAACAGGAGAGTCACGAACGCGCATCACAGAACAGATCAAGGCAAGCATTTGAGCTTATAAAACTTAAACTTTGTTATTTATTAAATGAGCCATCGTTTCACTTGATAAGACCCTTATTCATCATCTAGGAATCGTTTAAAGCCCTTTGAACAGTTTGCAGTTTGCACTGAAACTGTCATTTGGACCTTGAACCGTTTGGACCCCATTGAAGTCCATTATATGGAAAAAATCCTGGAATGTTTTCATCAAAAACCTTCATTTCTTTTCGACTGAAGAAAGAAAGACATGGACATCTTGGATGACACGGGGGCGAGTAAATTATCAGCTAAAGTTTTTTTACTCCTCCTTTAAAGTCCCTTCCCTAAAACTCATCTTAGATCACCAAATTTTATATTTTTTCCTTGGAAAAAAAGTCGTCATGCCTTAAAACAGCTTGAATGTAACTCTACACCCTTCCCTCATTTAGTATGCGCAGTTCTATGAATATGCAAATGAGCCCCATCTCCACTCACAGCGGCTCAGAGATCCACTGGTTGACGATCAGACGTTGATCTCCGCTGAAAAAACCAGCTAAAACCAGCCTAGGCTGGTTGGCTGGTCTTAGCTGGTTTAAGCTGGAAGTAGCTGGTTTTAGTTGGTCACCCAGCCTGGCTTAGCTGGTTAAGCTGGTCTCCCAGCCTGGCTACCAACTTGACCAGCTAAGACCAGCCTGACCAGCTGAAAAAGTGTTCAAAACCCCTCTAAAACCAGCCTGATAAACCAACTAACCAGGCTGGGAGACCAGCCAAAACCAGCCAACCAGCCTTGGCTGGTTTTAGCTGGATTTTTCAGCAGGGTGGTTACAAGGTCGTTTGTGACGTCAGAAACACCAGCGATTTCAAACCTCGTTTGGTCTTTGGTTCACTGCAGTTTTAAGGAGGAAATACTGTCGAATTTGCACGTGGTTTCTCTTAAAGGATAAACAAAAGGAGGACTTTGACATGTTCTCTTTTCAACTAGTAGAACGAAAACATCCAAATGTACGTTTTATGCATTTATTTTATTACACTATATTTGCATCGGGAGGCTGTTCTCTCAAACAGAGTTTTTTTACAGACTGATTTAGATAACATTTCATTCCTATAATCATGGTGATTTCTCTTCTGGCTGTTGACAATATTTTGTGGTAAAAAGAGAAAAAGCTTCTTTGTAAAAACCCAGGACTGCTGAGAAAGTCAATTCAATCATATTGACTTCAAGCAAAAGGTCATTTAATCTCGTCAAAGTCTAAGAGGTTTTGTTTTCTGCAGGAATATGTCAAAGCAAACTTTGATCGCCTTAAATAGTGGTTGTTTCTTCTCTTTCATCCTCGCACATAAACTAATCTCTGCACATGCAAGACCACACAATCTGTAAGATGCATAATGCTTTGACAATTCATAAAGAGATTTCTGATCCATCGTTGTACGTGAGCCACGGCGTGCATCCCTGTGTCGGAGCGTTTACAGATCTTGTGGCTTTACCATGTGCTCTGCAAAGACTCCCGTCTGCCTTAATCACACCAGCAGCCTGTCAAGCATTTCTGTCTAAGTGAATTTGCTGCTTTTGAAAACAACGTGGCGTCACAGAGGTACACAAGTTAACTCTTATCAAGTTAAACATTGATGCCTAAATAAATACAGTTCTGTTTTATAGCAGGGAGAGATGCGTCACCGTAGTGCCTGACCCCAGATTATGTGCGAGTGTTTTCTGGGTCGCTCCAGTCGTATCCTCTGAGCTGGATTTGGAGCCCAATCACAAAGTCACCTTGAACAGTCCCAGATCCCCCTTCTCGCTGTCTGCAATCCAGCCTAATTCCTCCACTGAGACGGTTTTCATCCAAACCACACCAAACCCACATGAGGAAGAGTTTCAGCGGCGTCCAACAGCGATTCTTAGTGTGCGATGACGGGCGAGAGGGAGAATGCAGAAACGATGGGGATGATACAGAATAAAGAGGTTGAAATAACGGTAAATAGATGAACACGTTTGGTTTATAT